TGTTTATCGGATAGTCGACTAGTGGCTTATATCCCTAAGTTAAACTAAGGTATTAACAATTGTTAATGTAAGTTAGTAAAAAAGGGATAAAGAATAAGAAAGAAAATATCTTATTGCTGTTATGTAAAAACATGGTATGCCCACATCTTGAATACTGAGTACAGATGTGGTCACCTCATCTCAAAAAAGATATATTGTCATTGGAAAAGGTTCAGAGAAAGGCAACAAAAATGATTAGGGGTTTCGAATGGATAACCCGGGAGGTATGTCTACAATACAAAGTTAATTCGAAATACCAGCCGTTATTTTGAATTAAATTTAATAGCGTCTATACATTCATTAATTCGAAATTAATTCGAAATAGCGGAGAGCTTAATTCAAATTTGGTAAACCTCATTCTATGAGGAGTAATGCCAAATTCGAAATAGCTATTTCGAATTAAGTGCTGTGCCAATTCTTGGCATAACCAATAAAACTTACTCCTCATTCTATGAGGAGTAATGCCAAATTCGAAATAACTATTTTGAATTAAGTGGAGCCCTGGTGGCCACTCTTGGCATAACCAGGAAAACTTACTCTCCTCTCCCTCATCCCCAGAGCCATTAAAGTGGCCACAGTGCCTGTGCCAACTCCAAGCCTGCCAGCCCAGAGCCAGCAGTCACTGTCCCTGACCAACTGGCTCCAAAACATGAGCCAGCAAGCCACTGGCAGCCAGCCCTCCACCACTCCCCGGCAGCACTCTGCCAGCTCCCAGGAGCCTGACAGGGGCCAGAGAAGATGGGTGCCTTCCTGGTCCAGGGTGGAGATCATGGACCTTATTCAGGTTTGTGGGGGATGCCCATGATCTCCACACTAGAGAGAGGAACACGGCCGTCTATGGCAGGATAACTGCCAGCCTGGACACCAAAGGCCACATGCGAACCCAGGAGCAGGTTTGCATGAAAATCAAGTTGGCCCAGCCAGACCCTCAACCCTGGGCCCTGAGCTTCCCCTCCCTCTTCTTCCCCTTACTTCCCCCCTTCCAGCTCCCTCCTCCCAGGTTTCCCTCTCCCCTCTCCCCTCTCCCACCCTGTCTCCTCCTGTCTCCCACCTCCTTTCCCCAATCTCCCCAGAGTTTCATTCCCCCTCCCCAGTTTTGTTAAATAAAGACACTTTGTGTTTATGAAAAAACATGTCTTTTATTTGACATTAGGAAGGTATAAGTGGAAGGACATGAGGGAGGAATAGGGCACGAGCCCCCAGTGGGGAGGACTGGGGTGGCTCTGAGGGTTCCTCAGGGTAGACGCTCTCCCGCAGAGCCCCCTGGATCCTGACAGTCCCCCAATGGACACCCCAGATGGTAGCCTGCAGCAAGTGCAGCCGGGCTGATGGCAACGACCCCATGAGATGCACCAGTGTGCCCAGGGGCAGCTCTGGCTCCATGTGGCCGAGTGCTGTGGTGTCCTGAGTGCGGGCACTCCGAGCACTCCAAGACAGGACTGCTTTGCTGTCCTTCATTGAGGCAGACAAGCAAGCGGGGAACCCTGAGAACTGTCTGTCCGGGGTGGGGGTAGGGTCCCTTTAAGCACAGAGCTCAGTTAGTGCCACACACTACGTCCTAACCTGCTGTTCTGGCAGCACTGGTTTTGGCCAGCCTTAACTTCGGTTCAGGGTCCACTCAGTGTGGATGTGCTATTTCAAAATAGGTTTTGTGTATAGATGTCTTCTTTCAAATTAGCTTAATTCGAATTAACTATTTCGAAATAGTGCTGTAGTGTAGACATACCCTCCCAGGAAAAACTTAAAAAAACACGAATAGTCCAGCAGCACCTTAAAGACTAACAAAACATGTAGATGGCGTCATGAGCTTTCATGGGCACAACCCACTTCTTCAGATGACTGGAGTATTAGAAGTCTAGATCCAAGAATAAATAAGGGAAGGGGCATGAAGGAGCAGGGGAGAAAAAAAGGAGAGAGTGAGTAGATGGTTCAAGTAGTTACAAGCGGCTGATAAGAAGAAAAAGCACCTCCGTTGGTTGGTTGGTTACTTGGTTAAGTCATGAGGAAGAGCAAACACGTTCGCTGGACGTGGCAGAGTTTTTTCAGACTATCTCCAGTGCCCCGGACTGCCCACCCCCACCCCACAGGTTAGTTGTAGCCCTAGTCTCCTCTCTTCTAAGCTGAAAAGGCTAATTTTTTTAAATCTCTCTTCCTATGGGATCCATTCCAAACTCTTCACAATTTTTGTTGCCGTTTTCTGAACTTTTTCCAATGTCAAGATATCTTTTTTGAGATGTTGCGACCACATCTGTACATAGTATTCAAGGGCGACCATGGTATTATACAGAGGCAATAAGATATTCTCTGTCTTATTCTCAATCCCTTTTTTAATGACTCCTCACATTCTACTTGCTTTTTTGACTGCCGCTGCACACGGAGTGGATGTTTTCCGAGAACTAAACACAGTGACTCCATGATCTCTCTCTTGAATAGCTGTAGCCAACTTTGTCCCCATCGTATTGTATCTATAGATGGGACTCTGTTTTCCAATGTGCATTACTTTTCATATACCAACATAAAATTTCATTTGCCGTTTTGTTATCCAATCACTTAGTTTGCTGAGATCTTTTTAAAGCTATTCACAGTGTGCTTTGGTCTTAACTATCTTGAACCGTTTGGCATCACCTGCATATTTTGCCATCTCACTATTTACCCCTTTCTCTAGATCATTTATAAATAAATTGACAGACCTTAGGGGGACCCCACTAGTTACCTCTTTCCATTCTGAAAAGTTACCATTTATTTCGACCTTTTCATTCCTGTCTTTTAACCAGTTACTAATCTGCAAAAGAACCTTCCCTCTTATCCCATGACAACTTACTTTACTTAATAGCCATTGCTGTGGGACCTTGTCATAGGCTTTCTGGGAATCTAAGTATGCTATATCCACTTGATCCTCCTTCTCCACATATTTGTTGACCCCTTCAAAGAACTCTAGCAGATTTCTACAGCATGATTT